TGTAAATAATGGGCATTATTGGGGGCACAGCACAAAAGCTGGCACCGGTATGGGGCAAGGCATAATGGCACCAGCATGTGGGCAAGGCATGGCGGGTCTGAAGAAGGGTAAGGCATGTAATGGCACCAGCAAAGGGGTAAGGCATGTGCTGGCACTGGCGTGCCGGTGCAAGGCATGTGCTGGCACCGGTAAAGGGTAAAGGTATGGGCTGGTACTAGCAAAGGGGGCAAGGTGATACGGGTACTGGTAAAGGGTGTAAGGTATGCTGGCGGCAGAAGGGTAAGGATGGGCTGGTACCAGTAAAGGGTATACAGGCTGTTACCGGTAAAGGGGTAAGGTATGGGCTGGCACTTGAAGAAGGGTAAGGTATGTGCTGGCACTGGCATGGGGTACATGTCAAGGGAAGTAATGGGGTGGGCTGCATGCGTTTTGCACCGGCGGGGTCGTGCCATGCGCTGGCTGGCACTAGGCAAGGCATGTGCTACTGGTAAAGGGGGTGTAAGGTATGTGACTGGCATTGAAAAGTGGCTGGCACTAGGGGGGTAAGGCATGGGCTGGTACCAGTAAAGGGGTAAGGTATGGGCTTGTATGGTAGAAGGGGTAAGGTATGGGCTGGTACTAGTAAAGGCAAGGCATGTGCTGGCACTGTTAAAGGGGGTAAGGTATGGCTGGTACTAGTAAAGGCGCTGGTACTGAGAAGGGGAAGGTATGGGTTGGTACGGGGGTAGGTATGTAAGGGAAATGGTAAAGGGTGTAAGGTATGGGAATGGTACTAGTAAAGGGGTAAGGCATGGGCTGGTACTGGCAAGGGGTGGTATGGCTGGCACTGGTAATGGGGGTAAGGCATGGGCCGGCACTGGTAAAGGGGGAAGGCATGTGGCTGGTACCAGTAAATGTGGGCAAGGCATGGGCGGCACTATAATGTGGGGCATGGCATGTGCTTGTACTGGCAAAGGGGTGGGGGTATGGGCTGGTATCAGTAAAGGGGTTAAGTATGGGCTTGGTATTAAAGGGGGTATGGCTTGTACTGGTAAGGGGTAAGGTATGTGCTGGGTACTGGTAAAGGGGTATGGGCTGGTACTAGTAAAGGGGGTAAGGTATGGGCTGGTATGGCGTATGGGTTGTGGCATGGGCTTGTACTAAAAGGGGTAAGGTTGGCTGGTACTAGTAGGGGTAAGGTATGGCTGGTACTAGTAAAGGGTAAGGTATGTGCTGGCATTAAAGGGGGTAAGGTATGGGTTTGTACCAGTAAAGGGGTAAGCAGATGTGGACTGGTACTAGTAAAGGGTAAGAAGGGCTGGCACTAGTAAAGGGGTAAGGTATGGGCTGGCACTGGCAAAGGGCAAGGCATGGGCTGGCAATTAGCAAAGGGGGCAAGGCATGGGCCTGCACTGGCATGAGTGGGGCTGGGCATGGGCCGGCACCAGCAAAGCTGCACATGGCTGGCACCAGCAAAGCCGTGGGGCAAGGCATAATACACTAGCAAAGGGTACAGCATGGGCTGGGCACTCAGGAAGGGTGTATGGGCATGTGCTGGCACAGCAAAGTGTGGCAAGGCATGGGCTGGCACTAGTAAAGGGGGTAAGGTATGTAATGGGAAACAGGAAGGGGTAAGGTATAATGGTACTGAAATAAAGGGTAAGGCATGGCTGGTACTAGTAAAGGGTGTAAGGTATGTGCTGGTACTAGTAAAGGTAAGTATGGACGGGTACTAGTAAAGGGTAAGGAGGCTGGTACTAAAGGTGTATATGTGTTGGTACTAGTAAGGGGGGTAAGGTATGGGTTATAAAGGGGTAAGGAGTGGGCTGGTACTAGTAAAGGGGGTAAGGGTGCATGGTACTAGTAAAGGGTGTGGGATGGTTGTGCTGTAACTAGGAAGGGGGAAGGTATGTAATTGCACTTAGCAATGGGGGCATAGTGTGGTACTAGTAAAGGGCAAGGGTATGTGCAGTACTGGGAAGGGGCAAGGCATGGGCTGGTACTAGCAAAGGGGTAAGGTATGGGCTGGTACCTAGTAAAGGGGTAAGGCATGGGCTGGTACTAGTGGGGGTAAGGTATGTAAGCTGGCACTGTAAAGGGGGAAGGTATGGGTTGGTACTGCAAAGGGGGTAAGGTATGTGCTGGTACTGGAAGGGTAAGGTATGTGCTGGTACTAGTAAAGGGGGTAAGGTATGGGCAGCTAGTAAAGGGGTAAGGTATGTGCTGGTACTGGTAAAGGGGTAAGGTATGTGCTGGTACTAGTAAAGGGGAAGGTATGGGCTGGTACTAGTAAAGGGGGTAAGGTATGGGCTTGGCACTAGTAAAGGGTGGTATGTGCTGGCACTAGAAGGGTAAGGCATGTGCTGGCACTGAAGGGGGTGTGGGCTGGACCAGTAAAGTGTAGGCATGTGCTGGCACTGGTAAAGTGGGTAAGGTATGGCACTAGCAAAGGGGGTAAGGTATATTGGCACTGGAAGGGGTAAGGTATGGGCTGGCACTGAGTAAAGGTGTAAGGTATGTGTGGTACTAGTAAAGGGGGGTAAGGTATGTGCTGGTACTAGTAAAGTGTAAGGTATGGGCTGGTACTAGTAAAGGGGTAAGGTGTGATGGTACTAGTAAGGGGGTAAGGCATGGGATTAACAGTAAAGGGGTAAGGTATGGGAAATTGAAGAAGGGGTGGAAGGTATGTGCTGGCAATTAGTAAGGGGTAAGGTATGGGCTGGTACTAGTAAAGGGCAAGGTATGGGCTGGTACTGGTAAAGGGTGTAAGTGTGCTTGTACTGGTAAAGGGAAGGCATGTAATGGCACCAGTAAGGGGGTAAGGTATGGTGAGTACTAAGGGTTGGGCATGTGCTGGAACTGGAAGGGTATGCATGGCTGGCACCATAAGTGGGGAAGGCATGCATGGCACTAGGCAAAGCGTGTAAGGTATGGGCTGGTACTAGTAAAGGGAGAGTATAGGATGGCTGGTACTAGTAAAGGAGTAAGGTATGCTGGTGGCCTGGTAAGGGGGTAGGTATGGGCTTACAGTAAAGTGGTGTAAGGTATGTGTGGCATTGTGGGGTGGTATAAATGATAGTAAAGGGGTAAGGTATGTGCTGGTACTAGCAAAGGGGGTGGTTGGCTGGTCTGGTAAAGGGTGTATGGTGTGAAGGGTGGTATGGGCTGGTACTCTGAGTAAAGGGGGTAAGGTATGGGCTGGTACTAGTAAAGGGGGTAAGGTATGGGCTGGTACTAGAAGGGGTAAGGTATGGGCTGGTACTGGTAAGGGTAAGGTGCATGTGGCACTGGCAAAGGGCAAGGCATAAATGGTAGTAAAGGGTAAGGCATGTGCTGGTACTAGTAAAGGGGACATGTGGCACTGGAAAGGGTGGGCATGTGTGCTTTCTAGTAAAGGGGTAAGGATGGGCTGGGACTGGTAAAGGGGTAAGGTATGGGCTGGTACTGGTAAAGGGGGTAAGGTATGGCACTAGTAAAGGGGAAGGCATGTGCTGGCACTAGTAAAGGTAAGGTATGTAACTGGTACTAGTAAAGGAAGGCATGTATGTGCAATGAAAGGGGTAAGGTATGTGCTGGTACTAGTAAAGGTAAGGTATGGGCTGGCACTGGTAAAGGGGGTATGGGCTGGTACTTGTAAAGGTGTAAGGTATGTGCTGGTACTGAAAGGGGTAAGTAAGGTATGGTGCTTGGCAAGGAAGGGTGTAAGGTATGTGCTGGTACTATAAAGGGTAAGGTGATGTGTGCTGGACTAGTAAAGGGGGAAGGTATAGGCTGGTACTAGTAAAGGCAAGGATGCATGGCACTAGCAAAGGAAGGTGATGGGCTGGCACTGGTAAATGGGGGCAAGTATGCTGGCACTAGCAAAGGGTAAGGTATGGGCTGGTACTAGAAGGGTGTAAGGTATGTGCTGGTACTATAAAGGGGTAAGGTGTGATGGCACTAGTAAAGGGTATATGGGCTGGTACTAGTAAAGGGTATGTGCTGGTAATAGTAAAGGGGGTAAGGTGATGTGTGGTACTAGTAAAGGGGTAAGGTAGGCTGGTACTAGTAAAGGGGTAAGGTAAGGCTGGTACTGGTAAAGGGTGTAAGGTATGTGCTGGTACTGAAAGGGGTAAGGTAGTGGGCTGGTACTAGTAAAGGGGGGTAAGGTATGGGCTTGGTACTAGTAAAGGGTAAGGTATGGACTGGTACTAGTAAGAAGGGTAAGGTATGTGCTGGCACTAGCAAAGGGGTAAGGTATGGCTGGCACTGAGAAATGATAAGGCATGCGTGGCAATTATAAATGTGTCACACATGGGCACTAGCAAAGGGAGCAAGTATGTGCTGGCACTGGAAGGGGGCAAGGCATGTATGGCACCAGCAAAGGGGTAAGGTATGGGCTGGTACTAGTAAAGGGGGTATGGCATGTATGGTACTAAAGGGTAAAGGTGGGTTGGACTAGTAAAGGGGGTAAGTATGTGTCAGTATGGGTAAAGGGCAGAAGGTGTGCTGGTACTGGTAAAGGGTAAGGTATGGGCTGGTAAGTAAAGGGCATGTGCTACTGGGTAAAGGGGGTAAGGTATGTGCTGGCTGGGCTGTAAAGGGGTAAGGTATGTGCTGGTACTGGTAAAGGGGGTAAGGTGTGCTGGCACTAGTAAAGGGGTAAGGAAGGGCTGGTACCGAAGGGAAAAGGTATGGACTGGTACTAGTAAAGGGGTATGGACTGGCACTCAGTAAAGGGTAAGGTATATGGCTGGCACCTGCAAAGGGTAAGGCATGGCTGAGCGGGCAGCGATAAGGCATGTCACTGGCAATGGGGGCATGGGCATGTACTGGCACCAGGGAGCGGGGGTACAGGATGCTGGCACTAGCAAAGGGGGTAAGGCATGGCTGGCACCAGTAAAGGGGGAAGGTATGGGCTGGCACTAGTAAAGGGGGTAAGGCATGTGCTGGCACTGTAAAGGGTGTAAGGTATGCTGGTACTGGTAAGTGTAAGGTATGTGCTGGCACTAGTAAAGGGTAAGGTATGGTGCTGGTACTTGTAAAGGGGTAAGGTACGAAGGAAGGTGGGTATATGTGCTGGTACTAGCAAAGGTAAGGTATGGCAGGTACTAGTAAAGGGGTAAGGTATGTGCTATACTGGTAAAGGTGTAAGGTATGTGGTTTGGTACTAGTAAAGGGTAAAGTATGTGTTGTTATGGAAGGGTAAGGTATGGGCTGGTACTAGTAA